AGGGAAGGATGGCAAAAGCATTGGGCAGATGTCTTCTCAGAACCCATGGCCAAGAGGTGTTTAGTATTCTAGGCCTCACAGCTTTGTCCCAGCAAGATTGAAGCCAACACCACCCCTTCACCCAAAACACCCAGGAACACTGGCTCTGCTCCAGGGGTAATAAACACAGGCATTCTATCCAATAAGAAACACAAATATACTGCTTTTCTAAAGACCCAAACAAGCCCACCAGAATAGAATAAAAGGAGACTCCCAACCTATTTCTGGGCCACAAAAGGATTAAAAAACCCCAAGATCCTATTATATGGTGATAAAAACAAACTACTGATATATGCTATACCATATATGTGCTCAGACACATGCTAACCAAAAGAAGCAAAGTTACAAAGGACTACATCATTATGATTCTATTTGTTTCAGGATAATTGATCAATCCAGACAAAATACTGGGTTGCCAGGGGCCAGAAAGAGATGAAAGAATTGGGGGTGGAATTAAAAGGTATAAAGATTTCTATAATGTTAAAAAAATTCTAACGTCAGGCAGTGGTGATGCACACCTGTAATCCCAGCACTTGGGAGTTTGAGGCCAGCCTGGTCTACAGAATGAGTTCCAGGACAGCCAAGGCTACACAGAGAAACCCTGTCTTAGAAAACAAAAAAAATCTAAAACTGACTGATGACAGAAGTCCACTTCTATGGATAATCTTGAAAGCCACTGAATTGTACACTTTTTATTCCAGTTATCTTAGACAGTACCTCAACACTATAGCTCAGGCTAGTGTCAAACTCTTGGCAATCCTCTTGTCTCAGCTTCCCAACTGATGGGTTTATAGGTACAGGTCATCACACACACTCAGAAAATTGTGTACAAACTGTGAAACACACACAATAAAACTGTGAAACAAACACAAAACCACCAAAGAACCTATAGCATCTACCAAGAATAAAGAAGCTCAACACTGGCTGAAACATCATAGCACATCTTCTAAAAAGTAACATCCACAGAGCCAAGGGTCCCACATAAAATTCCATGAAGGGCAGAAGAATATAAAACAGGACATTAAAGACAAGATTACAACTTTCTCCAGAGCAATGAGTCCAATCACCCTCCTCACCACTACATATTTCATAGGTAGAGAAATCAAGATCCAAGTCTGATGTGGTAATGCATACCTTTAATCCTAGTACTTGGGAGGCAGAGGCAGGCAGAGCTCTGTGTTTGAAGCCAGCTTGGTCTACAGAGTGAGTTCCAGGCCAGCAGGGCTACCCAGAGAAACCCTGTCTAGAAAAAAAGAGATAAGGAATCAAAGACCCTGAAAAGGGAACTGCCCCAAAACCACACAAACGTTTAGTATAGAAAAAGGACTCAAATCCATGTTGCCAGGTCAGAGACCATACGCTGCTTCCTTATCAGCCAACCACCCAATTTCAGATGGGCAAGATCCTAAATGCCAAGAGATGGGTACTATAGGTGGCCAAAGCCTCTTGGGAAGAAAACAAGATAGTCCTGGGGCAAAGTATTCATCCTGAACAAAAAGATCCAAAAAACCCTCTAACAACCCTCATGAAATTTTGCCCTAAAATGAGAGTTCTACAATCATAAAACCAGTTCAACAATCAACACTAGAGTTTGAACTATAAAGCCTGTCCTCTAAATCCCAAATTCTTTCCACATACAACTGTGGAACTTGATAGCTGGCAACAACACTGCCACCCATCATCCTTAAACCTCACACCAAAGCCTGCCTATCAAACCTCTATGGCTGGGAAAAAAGCAAGGAGGAAAGAGAAGGAATCCAGCTCCTCTTCAAAAGACACCACTGTTCACTATCAACTTCAGATACAGGGGGCTTTGAAATCCCTAAAACTCCAAAGCTAACTGTCAACTCATCAGCACATGAGCAAGAGGGTAAGGAAACTGAAGAGAACTGAAGCAGAAACTACACTAGTTCATCCTGCAAAATTTGACAGAGGTAGAATCTAGACACACTGACAGCACTAAGTCTAGCATCTTTCACTATCTCAGCATGTATGCCCCTTTCTCCAAGATCTCTGTGAGGTCTCCTAGCTTTGGACTCTTACAAGCCATTGTTTTCAGTGGACAGGCCCTCAGGCAAGGTGACCATGCATGGAAAAGGAACCCTCTGATATCATCTCCCCAGCACCCTGACACCAGGTACCTAAAGGGAACAGTAGTATATATTCACAGAACTGGAACCAGATTTACCATTCAGACTAATCATCATCCCCTTCTGTCAGTATCAAACTAGCCTCTAGGCTATAAACATCTTCAGCAACAATTGTGGACCAAGATTGGGGTAGCAGAACCAATCTCCCGTCTTCTCATCCCCAAAAGGCTCAAAGTTGGGCCAGAGGAGGCAGGGAGAAAAGGATTAGTTCTATCTTCCCTTTACCCCACAGCAGAACAGAGAGTCTCTCCCTTGTCATAGGGAAGAACAGGTTTCATGAGTCCATCAGATCTTACTTCCAAGTTCTTATGAGGTGGAATATAAGAGCAGAACTGCAAGAGGGTCTAAGAATGTGGCCTTTTGCATTTCCATGAACAACATACCTTCTCTGTCCCTGGAACAAGGAAGGTATAGCTCTCTAAGGGGCAAAGAGACTTTACAAGAACCAGGGATTCATAACTCCCGGACTTGACATCTGTGAGTCCAGAGGATTTGTTCTGTCAGAAATAATAGGAAAGGAACAAGAACAGTAGATTTGAGACCATACTCTGCCTCCTGTAAAGTAGAAAGAAAATGAGACAAACAGAAATGGGATGTGAGAGAAATGTTCAGGACCCTGGAAGTGGGAAGCAACAACTGAAATCAGAATTTCTACCAGTTTGAGGGATGCCTCAGGCTTCTGGTCCCAGGGTCTAACAACCTCTTGGCTCTGACCTAAGGGTAAGGAACTCTTATGACAAGAACACCCAGGTGCTCTGTCCAAAGGAAGAAGCCTCTGGCCATACTGATGATGACTTCATGTCCTCTCCCTGATGAGAAAGAATCACCTGGTGTGTTGAGAGGAAAGCTGCATGCCTAAGCAAGGACTCAGGCCTCAGTCCTCAAGGCAAAGAAAAGAAACTGTTGCCCTTGAGGGAACTGTTTCACAGGGAACTGTTTAAGAGGGAAATGTTTCAGGCGAAAGACGCCCTAACTATTTTCCTTAGAATCGTATCCTGCCCATGCCCCTGAGCCTCAAGTTCCCCACAAAGAGAATCTTATGGTCCTAAAAGACTCCTATGAAGAACATACCTACCTTGTCTTAGGTGACAGCCCCAAAAGATTCAGGTCTCAGATCCTAAGGTACAGAACAATCCCTCAAACAACTGTAATATTAAAAGCACCTGGAAAGAGACTAGGACCCTGTTCCTCAGGGACCTTATAATCATGCCCCAAAGAAAAGTGCCACAACTCAGTCCTGTCTCCCCAGAGCATCTCAAGTTCCCTGAGGAGGAACTTCAGACATTACTCTAGAAAGTCTTTAGGAGCATATATGGGGCTCTTGTTCCTAAGGAAAACCTTATGCCCTTCACAGAAAAGAGTCTCTGGCCCTTGACATCTGACATCACCTCTGGGTCTCCATACTGCCCATTTCCAAAGCAGGGATTATATAGGGTCTATAGATTTCATGCTAGATTCTGGGACCTCATCTGCAAAGTCAATAGGTGGGAGTTCTTTTTCCAGGAAAGATGGAGCTCTTCCTGAGGGAAGCCTCAGGTTTTTCCCAAGGAACTTAATCTGTGTTTAGTGACTTGAGAGCTCTTTTCCTGTGAGATTAACAGCTCAGCCCCTGGGGGATCAGAGAAGTCTTTAGATGAACTGAAGAGAAAAAATGGGATGTTGAATCCCTGAAGTGCATTTCAATCAGTAAGACATATATCCTTAGGGGAATATATGAACCCCCAAGAGCATAGACACTGGTCTATGAATAAAAGTGTGTCCTGAAGAACACTTCCAGCCTGGGACATCTTTAAGTGCCATACTCCTGAAGAGGCCACGGGCCCAGTCTGTAAAACTCCAGTCCATAAGCAAAGAGGTCTTTACACCAACATCGACTGTGATCCAAAGTTCTTAATCTCATTCATTTGAAGAAAGGTTCAGGTCCTCAGTTGAATGGTAGGGGTGGAGGCAAAGAGCCTATCAATGAGAAGAAACTGAGGACCCTTGTCTCCAAGGATGCAGGTCTCAGTCCACTGATAGAAAACACAAACCAATGTCACTCAGAAAGGATATGAGACAGGCAGTTTCTGGTCCTAGGTATTGGTTTTGGCCTTTGTCTCCAAGGGTTAGAGAAGTTTATTTCCCAGAAAGAAGTTTCACATCACTGGAGGGATGCTTTGGAAATCACTATCTACAGTTATGTCGGTTTACTCTAAGCCCTAAATTCTCCAAGGAGGTCTAGGTCCTTGAATTGATGCTTAGGACTCCTGAGGAGGTCCCAGGCATGGCTGGTGAACAGACCTGTCAACTCTGCAAAGGAAAAGAGGGTCCTTCCTACATGAAGAATGTCAGGTTTAGGTTTCTTGGGTACGCCTAGACCCTATCTCTGAGGACACTGCCTTTTCTGAGTTCTCTGGAGAGGAAATCTAACTTGTCCTAAAGAAAAAGAGCTCTTAAGTCACTGAACCGAAGTCCCTTAGTGAGACATGAGATCCTCCTCTCAAGAAGGAATCCAAACCTACCTGTGACTCCTGGAGACTTCTCACCAACAGTCATGCAGATGAGACCCCAAGACCAGGACTGACAACTATGGACTGCAAAAGAGCTCCCAGATCTCATCTTGAAGTATGTTAGCATACTTAGGACCCCTAACACCAAGTCCCTGGGGGAAATGAGGTTTCATCATACCTTCATCACCAGAGAAGAATGTCAGGCCCAGCAACAAGACCTAGGTTTCTTGGACCACTCTGAAACAACACTTCCTTGGATCCCTTCTGAGTCTGGTGGACTCACGTGCTGTTATCTGCCAGCTCCTCACCTTGCAGCCCTTACCTGCTCTACAGTGGCAGGATCCATGGCTTCGATTCGTGCTGCCGCAGCTTCATATTCGTCTTCACTGTTGTAGCCTGCTCCGACCTCTTCACGCTCCGGACTGCCCCCG